AACCCAAACCCTGCTGTGATTCCATCATTCTATGATTATTATTTATTTTCTTTTTATATGTTTTCTTTTGTTACTTTTTACCCTTGTTTTCTTCAGTACTCCAGACCCTGGAGCTGGCTGCTATTTCAACTGTGAAACGAACAGTCAAAGAACCCCCACACTCTGGGTGGATTTAGGCAGATGGGAAGTGTTTACATTTGGAAACATATACATCGATTATAGTAAAGGAGCGAAGACAGGGAAAAATTGTAATTATTTCTGTGGTACACATGAGGAGAACACCGATACCTTCAGGTGGTGTAGCACTGTGTTATATTTGATTTACGGTGACTTATCAAGTTACACACCGTTTGTCTGTGTTGAAGTGTCCTCTGCTGCTGATTTCTTAAAATGCGAGCGGCTGTTGGAGGGAGCTTGCTCATTTTCCTTTACGAGATCACAGTGACTGTGCCTTGACTATTCTGAAATGAAAAAGTCAGCAGGGTTTATGGTAGACTTGATACTTCCTGCAGGTCAGTAGCTGCCCGTAAGTGACATCAAGTCTAAAATAATTTAAAAAAAAAATTCTATGTTTATTTTTAAGCAATTTGATTGTTTTAAATAGAGGTATTAATTTAAACGAGACTTTGAAATTCTCCTTAATGTGACATTTGTGATAACCATATCTGTTAGAGGGAGGTTCTCTATCTCCTTTTTCTTTTTTTTAAGAAAGCGTTCACTATTTCAGTGAAGTGATTTGAAGAGTGGGGGAAGAATGGAAATGGGGAAGAGTTGTACCTCAAATGTACATTTTCTCACACTTCCGTAATTTGTGATTCAAAAATGGGTTGGATCAGCTGCTGTTGGGGAAAAAAAAAGCTTAATACAATTCACTGTTATTTATACTTTCCTATAGTATTCTTAGAAACATTTAGGTATTATGACAGTACCCATACTAATTGATGTAGATTGTTTCATTGTTAAGGTAGGAAATCTGAACCAGAGAATCACAGAAGGGTTTGAGTTGGAAGAGCCCTTACAGACCATCTAGTTCCAACCCCCCTGCCATGGGCAGGGACACCTTCCACTAGACCAGGTTGCTCAAAGCCTCATCCAGCCTGGCCTTGAACACTTCCAGGGATGGGGCATCCACAGATTCTCTGGGCAACCTGTTCCAGTGCCTCACCACCCTCTCCAGGAAGAACTTCTTCAATATCTAATCTAAATTTCCCCGCTTTCAGTTTAAACCCATTACCCTTTGTCCTGTCACTACAGGCCCTTGTAAAAAGTCCCCCCCAGCTTCCTTGTCAGCCCCTTCAGGTACTGGAAGGTGCTAGAAGGCTGTCAGAAGGAAGTCGACTGAAAGAAAGCAAGAAGTTTAGAAGGATTGATAAGAAGATGGTGTGTGGGTTAGAAAGTAATTAACAAAAACAGGGGAGTTGCACCAGCAGAAGTCACAAGCACCAAAATCCAGTATATGCTCCTTTTCCCTAGGAAATGCATCTAGCTAGTTAGCTGTGTCTTAATAAGTAGTTAATTGGGAAATACTGTCTAGTGGGTTCCAAGGCAGTTCAAAGTTGTTTCTGATTTTCATTTTGACTTCTAAGAAGGGTAGAGTTTGAATTAGGCATAGTTGAGCTAGTTGTTCTGAAGAGATGATTAATAACAAATTTTTATTTGCTGCTTACAATTCTTCATTTCAGTATCTTGCCAGTAGTAAATGTGGCCAGTACGTTGACATTGGAATTCTAGCATCCGATTTGCAGAAAACGTACAGGTGAGTAAATATTTGTACTCTTACATTCTACATTAAAAATACAGAATATATTATCTTGCTATTTTCCTTCAGTGTATTTTTAATTAAAATTTCAATTTCCTTTACGTTAACTTCATTATCAGTTGTTGAGGTTGATTGAAACAGTAAGATAGTTTCCACCCGAGTGTTTTCCTCTGCTGATATATCTAGTAACTTAATATTTTATTCATGTATTGACATTGCAAGATCTGACTGCAGTTTGTTTTTTGTGGGTTGCTTTTTTTTTTTTCCCCCTTTTTTAATTCAGTAAGACATTTAATCTTGTTCAGTTGCTCAGCAGGACAGTCGGTCTTGCCTAATTCTTCCTAGGATGTTACGCTTTTCTGGGTGGGGAGCACGGTTGTGTTTCAGCAGATCATTGGTGGGTTGTGGGGGTTAGTGGAGAAGTATATTCATCTGTGTTTGCATGTTCTGTTTATTTGTGCCTTGTTAGAGAAGGGAGCCAAGTCCTTTGCTTAGCATGCTTACAGGTCTTGGGGTTTTGGTTTTTTCTTCTGTTGGCTGCTATATAAAAGCAAATAAATATACCTTCAGTAAGTGAAGATAAAAGGTTGATGATTTTTGTTTGCATTTAAGGATGCTCATTGAATCAGATTTTCTCATAGTGACAATTTTGAATCATCACAGTTATTCCTTGCAGGACTGTCTTCTCTATAGTCCTGTGTCCGTATGTTCTTGTTTGAATTAAAATTTTAAAATGGGTAGTGTTGTGAAATTGCGTCCAGTGTGCTCATTTGCACACTGCTGCTTCTCTGTATCTGCAGTTAAAGAGGACCTTGATAATTTTTACTAAACATCCCTTTAGAAACCATTATAGTTTTGTTTCATCCAAGAGATTGAGCTATTCCCGGGTTAAGGAAAAACAATCACATTTTCACATAGTTGGCTTTTAATAGGAACTTGTGTAGAAGCTCAGGTATCAATTTACGATGTTTTTTTTCCACTGAGAATGGCAATATGTTGAGGGAGAATAAGCAGTTGGTGTGACCTGTTTATTTTGGGTTTTTTTCAGTGCAGAATATGGACGGAGAAAAAGAAATGCTTTTAGACTACAAGTTGAAAAAGGTACTTCTGTTAACGTTGCGTCCAAGACGCCAAGCTCTTTGATTACGCTTTGGCTTTTTTACTTATCATGTTTGCAACTTTTTCTTTCAGTGTTTGGGATAATCAGTAATGAAAAAGAACGTGAAGATTTAGCAGTTTTAGAAGCTGAACATGTGGCAAAAAGAGCAAGGCAACAAGAGAAAAATGAGTAAGAAGATTTTTTTTTTTTTTTTTTTACCTTTGGTAGTGTCCAGGTTACAGATAGATCCTTGATTTCCCATAGGCCTGTCTTCATCCAAAGTTACCTGTAGTAATGGGAACACCTCCTTCATTGAAGATGAGCAGATACTGGAGCCAATTGTGATTTCTCTGTTATGGGGAACATACAGCCCTGAATTAGTGGATATCCTTGGGGCTTCCTTGACAGTCTTCCACATAAGGCCTCAGTACTTACGTGATTCAGTTCCTTTGTTTTGTTCTTAATCTTTTTTGGGTGTGAGAGAGATTAGCTGAATGTGAGAGGTAAGACTACAGGACTGATACTCAGAGTACACTGGGTACAAGATAGGAAATCTTAATTCCAAACTCCTAACCTGTGCATAGTCTCATGGGCCATTCTTATTCCTCTAACATGTGGTAGGTATCAAGGGTCTCATCAGGATATTGTAACCAGAAGGACTAGTCTAGTTCAGCAGTGATTTGCTGCCACTTCCCTTGCGCCAGCATTAGTGACTCTGTGATCTCTCGGTGAGGTGAGTCACATTGATCTGACATCACATTTTTTAGGGTTGTCTTTCAGCCAGGTTGCCAAGCTGATCCAATTCAACACAGACTTTGAAAGGATGCTTTTTTTTAACTCTTCACGTAGTAAATTTAGAGCGTGCTAGTCAGGAGTTTTTTTTCCACTCAGGCTACGTATCATGGTTGTGGGGAACTGCGTTGTGGCAATTGCATTTGGTTTGGTTTTGTGGGTGTCTCCCTTGCAGTCTGCTCTGATACATTAATAGTTTTTGTCTTTCCATGTAAAGGACTGCAGAAAGTGCCACAGATGTCTCTGACTCTGATGATTATCCAGAAGATCTAGTAAGTGTGTGTTTTATGATGATTGCTTGTATCTGCAGAAGACGTGATTCTGTGTTGTAAAATTGCAATGCACTTGGAGAGTATAAAAGTGGAGATGAAGTATAGTCAGAGCTGGCAATTCCAACTGGGAATATAGAGAGCTGAATGGAGGCTACTTCCTGAAGAAAAAGGAAGAACCTGTGGTGGGGAATCACTTTTGAGGAGAGCACACTGGGGCCCTAAAGACTTGGCTCTTGAATGAAGTCATCGAAGGAACTGACATAGCTGACTCTTACTGAAAGGTGACTCTCAGTTAACAGGAGACATTTTAGGGTAAATTGCAAAGGCTGCTGCCTCTTCAGCCAGCAGATGTAGTTATGTTTGCAGTTGATCTGCAGAGGAGTGGGTTGGGAGATGCAGGGCTAATGCTAAATTATGTTTATGAAATAGTTTTCATTGGCCTCTTAATATAAATAGTCCAACTTATAACCTATATATTTTCTTTTAAAATATGTGAATCTGCAGTCAATGAATCATATGAACACTTCCCTGCTGAGCTTATACAAGAAAGGAAATCCTGATTCTGTTCCAAACACCCCAAAACATGAATCACTGGAAACCCCCCCTCCTGTGCGATCAGTGCCTCAAACAAGCACCCTCTCAGCAGGAGCAAGAGTCGAAACACGCATCTCCGAAGGGGGCTGGTTCATTGATAAAACTCCCTGTGGAAAAGACTTTTTCATTGACCTTTCTGAGGATGGAGAAGGAGATGGAAAGAAACTGGTTTCTGAGGTATTTTGGTTCACAAAACCAATGTGATTTAAGCAGCAAGTAGGAATGTAACTTCCTGTATAATCTGACAGGCTTTTGAAGGGTGACAGTAAGACCAAAAGGACTGTCTGTCTTTCTGGGTTATTAAAATATGTTATTTCTATTGCAAACATACATGCTGTGTTTAAAAAAATTGAACGTGTTCAATAGAAAGGTAAGATTGACTTAAGCCCAGTGGAATATTTGTTTTTAGCTTGATTTCTGAAGAAGAATGGGCTTAGCCCATTGTTCTGCTGTGTCAGAAGTGAATTTATTTTTTTTTTTTTAAACCTTGTGGTCCATTTCAAGTGTGTTTGCATGGGAGGTGAAAATTCATAAAATTATTCACTTCCTCCGCATTTTTTGAGGAAGAGGTAGCGCTTGGTGTTACAGAGACCTGGGTCAGTGCCCACACTGAGGGAAAGGTAAGTGGAGCTTGGCTGTTATTTACTCTGTTCCTTGCCTAACTAGGCAGGAAGCATGTGGTCTCCCTTAGCCAGTGGTTAAGTCTTAGTGAGCCTGGGGAAAGCTGAAGTTTTTTGGATGGACAGGAGTTGGGGAAGTTGAAAAGAAATTGCACTGCTTTGTAAAGCAGTTAAAAATAGGTCCTACTCCCCATTCAGACATAGTGCCCGATTTGTGATCCCCTCCTGCTCCCCCCTAGTTTTTTTTCTTTTCCTTAGGAACACCTCCCACACACACTTTATTTAACTAATGAAAACTTTCCATCTGTGTGTGGGAGAGAACGTTTATGTTGTTTGGCTGACCGGATATTTTGGTAGGATGCTCTTCTGTTATGTGATGGGAGAACTGCATTTACATCTACCTTTCTAATTACACCAAACACTTGCTGAACAGGCAGATTTCACAAATCATCCCTTTATCCTAGTAGTATTGCATGCATCCTCTTGTGTAGAGAAATTGAATAAAAGGGAGGTCTTCAGAATGTAAAATGTTTGCAATACTGTATTCTTAAAAGAACCCCAAAAGCAAACCCATGCACCCAAAACCCACTATTTTCATCACTGAGCCTCATTTTACTTCGTTTCTCCTGAATTTGTCCTTTTCTTACGTGCAGTTAACTTGTGTCAGCACTGAATAATATTTTCCTGTAGCCACTCATGACTTACTAGTAATAAAAATTTTTTCCATTGAAGTAAATACATTAATACAGTCTTATCCCCAAAGTGGATTGCTTGATGGTATGCAAATGACTGGTGTCTCATTTTGTTAAGTGAGTTTGGGGTTTTTTGAGGGTGGTGTTTGGGGTTTTTTTGTTTATAAGAACGTACTCTTAGCAAAAAAAGTGACTGGTGTAATTAACGATTTATAAACAAGACAAATCCTAAGAAAAAAATTATTCTCTGCAAAAAGAACGGGTTAAATTCCTGCCTCACTTGTCTTTAGTCATATAATATGTGTAAGTTAAGCATCACAGACACTTAGACTTTTGGTCTTTTTAGTATTGATAGAAATTCACTGACTCGGAAGGTTTTGTATCTATGATTCTGGTTTTATGCCCTAGAAATCAACAGATTTTTCTGTCTTGGAGAGTGAAAGAAGGAAGTCAAAGGGTAAGAGAGCAAAAAGAAAAAAAGAAGAATTTCCAGATGTAGATGGGGAAATTGGTGCCATCTTACTTAAAGAGAAAGGTGAGAAGTTGGTTTTGGCGTGCTGCTCCAAACAAAGAGATGGGATTTGGCTGTGGAATCCTGTTCCTAGAGAAGTGTTTTACACTGAGGTGCAGAGAAGTGACCTTGAGCGTTTTGTTAAGAAATTTAGCCTTAATGTTGTACTAAAAAATTCTCCCAGTCCTATGTCTGTTACCAAAGAATAATACTATTCCAGGTACTTAGCTAATTGTTCAAGCTGAGTTCGTTCTTGTTCGGTGTTAGAAACTGCTATTATGCCATGTCTGAATTCGTGTGACTTTTCATCCCTAACAGCTAGAAGTAAAGGACCAGAGCTTTACCACCCTCCAGTGAAGTTTGAGGATGTGGGAGGCAATGATGAAACTTTAAAGGTTAGTTAAAGTTTTCACTGTGAGCCGCAAAATGCTCTGAATAAAGTGTCGCATGAAAAGTGGCGAACAAGGAATCTGGCAGAATTAATCTGCATGGCACTGAGAAGAGCTGCCTATAACGGCAGCAACAAAGTTTGGGGTTTTTTTTCTCCTTGACTAATCCTTCTGAAAGGAATCACTAAAATTATATTAATAAACAGAACTTACTTTTATTTTGGCCTAGGATATGAGAAATCTGTAATGCTCATTTCTTCAGTGTAAATGGAGGTTTCTCTTTGCCTTGACAGGAAATATGCAAGATGCTCATTCACATCCGTCATCCCGAAGTCTATAACCAGTTGGGTGTGGTTCCACCTCGTGGTTTTCTCTTACATGGACCACCAGGATGTGGCAAGACACTGCTTGCACAGGCAATTGCAGGGGTGAGAAAGCTTTACATTTGCAGTTTCTCCTGTTTCTGAATTATATTTAGAGAGAAACGAAATAATCCTCCTTCATGTTAGTCTAGATATTTTTCTCTTTTTTTTTTCCCTTCTCTCTCCTTCCTGTCTTAGTCTAAAACATATTCATTTTCACTTCCTTTGCTTAAATTGCATCTGAATCTGTACTTGACAGAACCTCATGTGAAGAGGGGACATGGTAGTAGGGTTTTGTGTTTGCCTTTGTTGTTTTGAGGCATTCCCAGGACAGCAGTGTAGGCGTGTGTAAATGGAAGATACTTTTGGTTAAATTTACCATAGTGGGTTTTTTTAAGCCTGGACTCAACCTTACCATCTTTTTTGAGGCTTTTCACTGATTCTATCAGATGGCATCTGTTAAACAATTATTTCTGAATCCCAAAACTGAGTGTTGCCTTGTCTATGTCAAACTCATGATGTCAGTACATATGACGTTATAGATAGCTTGGAGTGTGGCGGGGCTGCTGCGCTGCTCTGTGCCTGTCTTGGATATAAATCTAGGGGCTATCCAGGGCTACTCGGTGATAACCATGAACTTTGTCTTTACTACAGGTGCTCTTTACATGTCACATTATAATGTATAAATTAAGTGCTTCTGTAGTACAGCTTGTATCCTTGAATGAAAATACTGACATATATTACTTAATTGTTGGTTGGACTCTGCTGACACTGTATGTCAAATGTTTTAATTAAAAATATTTGAGGTTTTTTCATCCTAGTGTCTTACTGTAATAAGGTACTTCTTGCATGAATCTGTGATATGTTATACTTCAGCAGGTGTTTGTGTCCTGGCAGGTTACTAAATTTAGGGGAAGAAATACGACACAAGTGCAAAATTTTCAGAGATGCAATAAGTTTAATGACTACTTCCTAAATTGTTTTCTTAAGCAGATATTGTCAGCAGTTATTCAAGGCAAATTATCTCCTCCGGGCCCGATTTAATGCCTCTACTGGCTGTGATTTGTATAAATCAGGATTTTTTTTTTTTTTAAATACATAGTTTCAAAGAGCTTGAAATAGGCTGCAGCTACCTGTAGCACTACTGTGCTGTAGCCTATCCAAGTTATTATTTTATTTATTTGTTTTAAATAGCAGAAAACTTTGAGCTTTACAGGTATCTTCTTGTACAATTCTGCTCAGATATTTCTGGAGCCAAGACTAAGGGAACCAAATCTGATCGAGATCGAGATCTCTTCTGCATTGCTAAGTAATGGTTTGTTACAGATGGAAATAGACTGTTTTCTCAAGAAGGGAGCCCAGGCGTGCACTGGAATACATGTGTGGTAAAGGATTGGGTTGGAGACTGAGGTGCACAGCTGTTTGACAGTGCACCCGTTCTCTAACAGAGTGAGGGAAACCTGGGTTTTGTCTGGTTTCTGTTTGCTTGGCCCAATGGCTTAGACCCGTTTTAAACTGGAGAATGCGACTCCTTTTTTTTAAGAGCTCTTTAAGATTTAGTCTTGATTATGTGATCTTTGGGTGTAAAAGATGTATCGGAAAACATTTGTCCTCTAGGACAGCCAACATTTATAACCTCTGGATGTATCACACAATGTTCCTTGTCTCTTGCAGGAGCTTGAGCTCCCGATGCTGAAAGTGGCAGCAACTGAGATGGTGTCTGGAGTGTCAGGGGAATCTGAGCAGAAACTGAGAGAATTGTTTGAGCAGGCTGTGGTGAGACACACGTTGGAAATAACGCTGTGAATTGTTTGCCCTTTACTTTGTCAAGATTCCTACTTTGTTGCTGTGGTTTGAATTTGAGTGAATATTAGTGAGTGATTCTTTATACTTCTGCACACAAGTCACAGTGTCTCCCCTTCTGTGACTGGAATGCCGTGGTACTGTCATAGAGCACAAAGGTTACTGGTCTGAAATCGTGACAAAAGATAGTTCGCCGTATCAGTGTAAAGGGAGAAATGTAAATTATTTCCCTATTTGGAGCTGCTTGGCTTGGTAATATAAAGATGTAAGAACAGTTTACTGTGCTTTTTTTCTTACAAGGGTGTTTTTTTCTGTTTCTGTATGTCATGGAATTTGAGTGAATGTGAGGGGCTTAACACTACGGAGGTTTAGGTATAAAGTAAGACATTTGGGACAGATTTCGGTTCCTGACCTCTGAGAATGTTGTGGGTTTTCCAACTTTATCCTGGTTTTCTACTCCCCCCACAACTCTGTAGAGGTGTTTAATAATCGTCCTGTGTGAAAGGATGCTGAATAGGGCAAAAGGATTGATTGGGAAGCTGTTAGATTATTGTTTGCAGTTGATACCACATTTTAATTTTTAGAAAGCCTTGTCAAGATGTTGTATAGGATAAAATTAAATAAGTGATTACAGAAAATTGTTAGAAATTATGTATAGTGATTGAAGGGAGGTTGCTATAAAAGTTGTCATGGGAAAAATTAAATGTAATACACAAAATATGCTTAAAAATAAAATCTGTTGTCTTTTTTCATAGTCACATTCACTTAAGTAGCTTTTCTGCTTAGTTTTTGTACCAATTTTCGTGCAGGGAAGAAAGACCTATTCCACGATACATTATGCATGTACTGTGGAATCTTTATAGCCTAGTTGTGTTTTTCCCTCTGTCAGGTAGCGGACAAGTGAATGACGACTAGATGGCGCAGTTGCTACCTGGTAGCACAGAATGCATGGGGTTTAAAATACCGAGGGTTTTTTAATATGGTTCTAGTAGCTTCCTGAAGGTGATTCTAGTGTTTTCCTTGAGTATTCCTTTGCCCTACTAGTACTTTTGGGAATATGGATAATCTTAATGTCAGTTAAACACTACTCTATTTGTTTTTTATTATTCTATATTTGTGTTGGCTTTTTATGAACATAAAAGTTCATGGAGTTTTAGAACACATGTAGGATTTGCTCATTGCTTATTTTTTCTCTTTGAACATGACCGGGCTCTGTAGTAATCTTGGAGTTGGCAGATCGTTTTTCCTGACCACCTACTGCTTTCATTTCATTGTAGGTGTTGGTAATAGTAGCTTGTGAAATTCCACAGCTCTAATGTCACTAACAAGACAAACAAAAAACCAAATCAGACCTTTCTTTTCTGATTGCTTATTTCAGACTTAAGCGAGTAAGCCATCGCCATGCAGTATTTGTGGAAAACATAAAGCAACACAGAAGTACGTTTAAATTTTAAACGATATGTAGAGACATTTTGAATCTCTCGCCTTAATTATTTCATAGCCGCTGCTCAGCACAGTTTTGCAGTCTGGTGGTTCTCCAGATGGTCACTACGAACAACAGGATTGTTCCGGGATAGGTTGATTGTGCAGCAGCCTTAGAGTAATAATTACAGAACAGAAAACGTGGACAAAATCTTTCTCTCTCGTAATACACTCTGTCAGTGTAAGTTTGTAATTATTACTATTTCTTCTTCCTAGTCCAGTGCACCGTGTGTCCTGTTCATTGACGAGATTGATGCCATCACTCCGAAAAGAGAAGTGGCATCGAAGGACATGGAGCGGAGGATTGTTGCTCAGCTCCTGACTTGTATGGATGGTGAGCTTCGGGAATATCTGTACTGGCTAAACTTTGTAATTATCAGGCTCACTGTCTGTTTTCCTTCAGCAGTGACTAGTGGTTACTTCAGTGGAGATAGTGGTAATAATTGTTCGTATTTTGGCACAGTTTACCTGGGTGAGAAGATTCTAATAAACTTGAGGGGATGTTACTACATTATTTTCACAGTGGCCTGCACAGCATTGTATAAGCCCATCTGTTTATGTAAACAGATTTAATGGGGAAAATATGTCACATGTCATTTGAAATGCTAATTTTTGCTTGATTGTGCAAAATGCACATTCTAGGTAGTAGAAATAAGGATGAACAGCAGTTTAGTATGACTGTTGGATGGTTTATCTCTGCTGTTCTGAGTATTATGGTGTGCTGCAAAAACAGTCTCACACAGATATCGGAACAGAGTTGGGACGGTGAGTATGAGCACTGACTTCCTTCCTTCCTTCCATTAGACTTGAATAATGTGGCAGCCACTACCCAGGTCCTTGTTATTGGAGCAACTAACAGACCTGACTCTCTGGACCCTGCACTGAGGCGAGCTGGGAGATTTGACCGAGAAATCTGTTTAGGGATCCCAGATGAAGCAGCAAGAGAAAAGTATGTGTTATAAAGTGTAAGCTTCTTTTTAATTAATTAATAAGGAAATAATGTGTAAGTTGCCATACAAATTAAGGAAAAGTAGTTTATTGTGTTTAGTCTTATTTGTGTGTGTACACCCCTATGGCTCAGCCCACACCAAGAAGTGCAGAAGACATTAGGTGTGCATCTACTCTTTGTCTTGGTAGCTGTGCCTGCGTTTGTCCTTTCTTGCGTGCAAATCTGCTTTTAGCATCATGTTAATGGGTTTTCAAGTGACTTAACAGTATGGATGATGGAATTAAATCCTTTCTGTTGTTCAGGAAGTTAACATTCTCTCTTTGTTGTTCTCTATGTAACTATTGAATTAGGAACATAAATTAAGTATAGCCCATTTTTTAGTCCTTTCAAGCACATACTTTAAGCAACAGGCCTAGGTTCTTCCATTCCATTCCTTGTGGAAATGCACCAGTCCAGGCATTAAGCTGAGCCTTTCCACGACAGCAGAAAACACAGGAAGGGACGTGTGGAAACAGCTGTGGCTTATCTTGTTATGGGAAGGGAAGAAAGGTTACAAGACAAGTTCCTTCTAGCTCAACTGATCTTATTTCTAGGTGGAGAAAGCAAGCTATTTGTCTTGCAGTATTGCTCACTGGCTGTTATTCCACCCTTCCTCCTGCCCTTCTGGCCATGCCTCCACTTTGTTTTTTTCCTTCTTCCTCCAGATCTACAGCCCTGTAGCAATTACGTTCCTCTTGGTTGTTGGAAAACATGCAAGTGGTTAGGTAGAACTCTTAAAAGAGTTGACTGACGAGGGTTCTGATTCTGTGATATTTCGTAGGTTCATGTTAAAAATACAATACTCCCAGAAACAGCACTGTTTCAAAGGATAGTAGTTATGAATGGGAAAGCCATCATAGTGTGCAGAGATTGTTCATGAGTTAGAGTGTGATCACACTTGTTCATATTATTGTTTTGTACAATTGTATCTATTTGTGTTCCTGGACGTGTAGGCTTAGAGGAACTGTTGATTTTATTTTCATTTTTAAATTGTCTCCTCCCCCTGGCTTTTCTGTTTTTTTGTGGGTTTTGAGGTGTGTTTTGTTCCTTTTTTTTTTTTTTTAAACAAAAGTGTCATGTAGAAACAGAAGTCCTTATAAAGTGCTGCTTTACCACATAATAAAACAGTCTTGATGAGGACATGATTTGAACTGCATCGCTGTGGTTCTGCAGCATTAGGAGGGTGGAGTAGGGTGAGGAGGTATACCTGGAGATCCTGTGTATGTGCAGTGTTTTCTTGTTATTGTATGAAGGACATAAAGGAAAATAATATATGTAGGGCACAAACTTTAACTTTTTAGACTTTGAGTCACTTGATCAGCTACAACTGTTGTCAGACGGGTTGAAAAATTTTTAAGAACCAGGCCAATATCACCTAATAATTATTTAAATGAGAGATGGTGGAACTTGCTAGTAGGGGAGGCAAACAGATGGAACATATTATGATTCCAGAGTTTTGAGTAGTTTAATAACTTGTTCTTTTCAAAACTTTTCTGTACTTACATTACTTGATCTGGAAATAATTTAAACTAGTTTTCACTGGAACTAGAAACTATGTTAAAGATCAAGTGAAGATCATTAAGTGAAGAAACTTGGTTTTGTGCTGCCTTTTAAAAATACTTTCCTAATGAAGGGATGCTTTGCTGTTTCAGACAAGTTGATCTGGTCCCTCTGCTCAGTTCTTCAGCTCCAGTGTCTGTGCAGTGACATAGGCCTGTGTCTGGTTTGGGGTGGATTTTTTTGACTATTCATGTAGTTTTCAGTTGTCGTTGGCTTAGAAGAACAGCAGGAAATAGTGGTAAATCTTGAAGAAGTCTTTAAAGCTTCAGCCTTGATACAGAGTGAAAAAATCCCATTTAAAACAAGAAGTGTGAAGCACAGCACTGTCAGTTACATAGAGCTGTTTTCTGTTAGTGATGAAACTGCATAGGTAGGTGTAGCTGTAGCTTTTGAATGAGGGTGAAGTAACTCACAAGGTGTACACAGAAGCTGTGTGTTGCCTATTGGGAATTTTACTGGAGACACAGGAAATATCTGCAGTTATATTCCAGCTATAATGGTAGGGAAAAGATACTGAAGATTAAAAGACAGAGCTCCTCACACAGTCTGATTTCATTTGCTCCTTGCAGAATAGTTTGTTGTGGATGTTCTTCAGTAAATAAACGAAAGTGGGATTGTGCTGGGTTCAGCCAGG